CTGTCTGTCTGTCTGTCTGTCTGTCTCTCTCTCTCTCTCTCTCTCTCTCTCTCTCTCTCTCTCTCTTTCTCTCTCTCTCGTCTCCACCCGACGGTTCTATCTAGTCACCATCCGTCTATCATTTCTGTCTGTGGTCTCTTTGTTTCCCTGCCCTGTATGTAAACACTGGCGCACCCTCCCGCATCTCACCACGACATATATCTTACACCACTGCTTGCCGACCTGGATGTTATCTCCCCCAAGTGGGCGGTCAGGTGATTTTGGTGGGCGGTGGGGATCACCCAGATTATAAGAAGAAGAAGAAGAAGAAGAAGAAGAAGAAGAAGAAGAAGAAGAAGAAGAAACATCATTTGTATAGCGCACATCCGCGCTCGACAACAAGCTCTATGCGGTTTACACTATACCATTACCCCAGCAGACCATTGAACACTCAAAAACATTCTCAGTTTCCTGGGAAGCATTCGGTGCAAGCAGCTTATTTAGCGCTCAAACAGTAACAAACTGACAAGATCTTTCACCGTCTATGGCATGTGTTATTTACTGTAAAAAAGTAAAATTGTTCCCGCATCCGATTCGGACATTGGGCATTGTCTTGTCAATGGGAGAACTTCCTTTGCCTTCGACATATTGTGGTACGGTGGCCAGATCCTTTCTACGCCGCCTTAACTTCTAGTCAGGTACCCATTACTGCTGTGTTGGCAGGAGGGGGCGAAAAAATACGTGTCCGAACTGAGGCTCGAACCCGGACTTTCCACTTCGGAAACGAGCGCTCTAAACGCTCCGCCTCAGCACCCTCGTTATTTAATGTAACATTTGGAAATAAATACAGATGGACAGTACGAAAATCTAATCATTTTAACGGTGTCAAAAGTAGGCACTGGCTGTAACGGGGTTGAAAAATACTGTCTCATACGGTCAGATGAAAACCCCACCCACTCAGTTCAGTTCTATAACGCTTAATTAAAGGATCGAGCAACTATGAAATCGGCGTCTGTGGTGAAGTGGTTAGACCCACAGCCCTAGTACGCAGAATGTGTGAGTTCGGTTCCCTGAGTGAGGAAAGGGGGGGGGCGATATTTTTCTTCGTGATCGTGTCGCCCTTGGATACTTGTATCTATCATACGCGGACCAACCTGTTTATTATAGAAATCATTTTATATAGTTCCTCTGTTGACCTCTACAGTGGAGTAAAATACAAATTTTTTTTTTAGTTGAATATATCTATTTGTCTGTAAAGATAATGTATTTTGTCTGAGCCAGGGTTGGTCCTGACGGGAAAGGTCGAATCATCCCTTTCACTAAATTGAAGTAACCTACATTGTGCTGATTGGGACAAGGAAAGGGTGACAATTTCTTATGTACCACTACAATCATGGCCGACTGTCATTGCTTGGCACATAACTGATATAAGTAACTTTTTTTTGCAAGGCTCTCTGGGAATTATTTGTTTGTTTATTTGCTTATTTGATTGTTTGTTTGGTTGGTTCAGGGTTTTTTTTTCTTGTTTTAATATCCTTCTGCTTGCATTGTCAGTTAGTGCTGCTGTTTCCTTCCTTGACTTCTTCTACATTTAGTAACCGTGTAGTGTTGTTGAAAGACATTATGACTACACCCCCCCCCCCCCGACACACACCATTTTAAAAAAAAGAATTGCTCTGAGTACACACATACAAACAGACACACAAACACGCATAAAGACACTCTCTCTCTCTCACACACACACACACACACACACACACACACACACACACACACACACACGTTACGTATTTCTTTTGCCCTCTGTTTTTTCAACGGCAGCAGGATGTTTAAGGCCGTTATGTTGATTCAAGTGTACCAGAAAGTGCATGTGTCTCTTTGTAATCGTTTTTATTCGAGACCGACCTAAGTGGGCTTCTTTCAGTACTACCTCATTTGATTTCTTTTCCTTCAAGGAACTTCTCGACAGTCTCCCGAGAAGCCACGTTTCTTTTGTTTCTGCTATATTTTCGCCGTCTTTGGTATTTTTGTCCAACATTTACAGTCGTACAGAAGGGTTGACCACCTAGCCTTCTAGAATTCGGGGTTTGTTTCGTTTTGTTTGGGAGTTGTTGTTGGGGTTTTTTTGGTGACATTGATATGGTTCTATTTTTCAGGATTAGATTTCATTGCAACTGCCTTAAGAAATTGCAATTCTTCATTTCATATCTAAACCTGGCATCGAAAGCACTTGTATAATCACCCGAAATATTAAAACTGTTGAGCTTGTATAATACTTGTATAAAATGTAAAATACAGATTTGTAGCTATTTTTTGGCATTTTTAAAATAAATATACTCACACAAATAATTAACACCACACACACACACACACACACACACACACACACACACACACACACACACACACACACACACACACACACACACATACACACACTTACATACATACAAACACATACATACACATACACACACTCACACACACACACACACACACACACACGCACACACACACGCACACACACACACACACGCACACACTAACACACATTTGTTGAATGGGTTGCTCTTTTACCAGAACCT